ACCTTGTACAACCGCTTAACCTCGGGTGGGTCATGGTACCTCTGTCCTGGCCTGGGTGCCGTGTGCTGGAGGGCAAGGCGATGGATCGTCGATTGGTTGATCGACAAGATCTGCCCCGGTTTGCTCACCACACACCTGGGTTTGGTACACACCTTAGGACGGTCATCCTTACACGGCTGAGGCACAGGCAGTCGGATCTCGATGCGGTCATGGTCGCCCCCAATCTGCATGTACGACTTCTCGATGATCCTCACCACCGGGTGCTGGGTGTCTGCAGTCGCCACACCATCGATTTGATGGCCACGTGCTCCAACTCTTCTCGGCCGACTCGTGGGTGTGAGCCATTGGCCCGGCACCGGGGCCCTGAGTGTGAGGCCACCTCGCTCCAACTCCGCCACCACCAGGTCCGCTCGCCCAGTCGTGGGCATGATCTGGCCCCTGCCATTGGCCTCACCTGTCCATCTTAGCTTCATGTTGAAGTCCGCTAGGAGGATCACGGGGTGCGGTGATGCCGGCTTCAGCCGGAGCAGCTGTTGCGCTTCCTCCGCCGCCCAATCATCCGTAATGCCGGTGCTGAACCGTGCGGAACCAATCCAGTATTCCCGACCTGTCGCGATCAGTTTCAGCCTAACCCACACGCCAAGCTGGTCTGCTTTCCTTCTCGTACAGACAAAGTGCCTGGTGTCAAATGCCACTCCATTACCCCTCCATTGTAGAAGATCATCTCGAAACTGTACCAGGGTGCGGTGCCCATGCACCGACGTGTGCCACCCTGCCCGCCGCCTAGGTAGTTCTTGCAGTGCCACAACCACTGGTAGTTGGTTTCCATCAGAACCAGAGTCAACAGCATGCAATGCATCGTCTATGGGCTTGCCACCGATGTTCCATGATTGCAAATGAACAAAGGAGATAGGGTCAACTCCAACATTTCTGGTGCTACCCTCAGTACTGGTTTCAAAAGGTTGTTCGGGGTTTCTACACAGCGGCCCCTGGCTTTCCGCCTCAGCGTCTCCACGCCTCTGGCATGGCGACCCTTTTGGGACCCCCCTAACTACTGCATGCACCCGGCCAGAGGCCAATTGCCCGCTTTCAGCCTCACCCTCGGACTCGGCGTCTCACTCCTGCATCAGCGTCTCCCACCGCTCCTGTAGCCCTTGCTCGCCACAGCCGAGAAGCCTGGCCACCGTAGCGATGTCCACCCAGGTCTGCGGAGACTTTCCAGGGAGCACCTTGACATCTGCTGGCTTCGACCGGACTGCACTCCCAACCAGCCTGGCCCGCAACCACACCGACCCTGCCGCCCACTCCACATCGAGGTGGGTCCGCTCCTGCTCCGCCACTTCAAGGATCATCCGCTTGAGTTTCCCCGCGTGGGCCGATCTCACCCTCTCCAGCTTGGTCTTGCTGGGCGCAGCCCAGAGCAGCTTTCCATGCTCCATGCTGGGCCCCGCCATCTGTGCACTCCGGACCGCCTGGACAATCTCAACCACACGCCGCTTCAAGTCCTGGTCAGACTCGCCGTCCACAAGGTGAAGGAGTCCCAAAGCATTCCCTCGCCTAGGCCCCGTCGTGAAGACATCGGCAAACGACTTGAGGACATCAATCTTCTGGAGCATGTCGCGCAATTCCGAGAGCAACTGATCCCGATGCGTATCGGACCCCCAGCCACCAAAGACAACCACGTTGCGCTTTCTGTCCTCCCCTCCTTGGGGTTCCCCTGGTGCCATCGCCTTAGTCTCCAATGCCGCCAGGCGCTCTTCGAAACGGTCACCCTGATCTCTCAACTGCTCGATGTAGTCGCCCTGGCGGTTGATCTCCTTTTTGAGGGTCTTAAGTTCCGCCGCAGTGGCCATTTTCAATTCCCCAACCGCATCCCGGATCTGCTGCGACTGGTGCTGTTGGAGCTGGGCACTCTGCGCCTCCAAGAGTCGCTGGAGGTCCGCAAGAGTGACTGCTTGGCCACCCCCCTTGCGTGGTGAGCTGGCGTCCTCCGCCACTCTGGCTGACTTTCGAGGCTCTGCCCCCGTCCTGAGGTCCTCATCATCAGTGTCGGGCAGCCCCGGCAGCCGAGTCACATCGCCCGGTCCGCGCGCCATCGTCGGGTGCACAGGCGCTTCACAGGTTATAGCTTTTAAAACCCCAGGATGTTTCTTCGATTGTAAGTGATCACGGGAGGGGCATAGCTCGCAGGCTCCAGGCAGGCTGCCGGTCTCGGGTTTCAGGTTTGAGGATATACGATTTTAAGATCTTAAGGTTGAGGGCTAGTCTCCAAGATTTAGTTCCCGCTTGAGCCCTAAACCCTAAACCGTCATCCCTAAACCCCCGAAAACAGGTGCTTGAAACAAGATATTATGAATTAACAAAAGCTGCAAACTGTACAAGGCCCTGCAGCTCGGGCCACATGCATGCAGCTCCATGCGATGTTTATGATGACGGTGCACCCGCCAATATCAGCACTTCACATAAAGTGAGTACTGTGGCGAGTGCGTAAAGCCAGCTGAGTCCACTGCCGTTTGTGCAGAGCAAGTAGTCGCCCAACTCTTCGCGCGCCGCAGCGCCACAGAATCCTGCTCCTGTGTCTACGACCAAGGCAACTGCACTTGCCAAGGTGTCAATCGAGAACCAAAGTCCCAAATAGTTGGTCAATCGGGGATTTGAAAACTGAGTGTCCAACACTGTGCGACCACCATTTGGGTCATGAAGCAGGTTTGTCAGCAAGAAAAAGAGGAAACCCAAAGATAGCGTCCCTCTAAAATAATCGGTCGCTGTGAGAACACCTCGGCCGACTGCTGTGCAACCGCGTTGCCCTGACCAAGCCATGAAGCCAAGTACCATGACAACAGTGGGCACTGTGCATATGACCACGTTGAGAAGCCATGCTGCGATAGTCAATCCTGCAAGCCAGTTATATTCTTGGCTGGATTGGCACCACCAACGGTAGGTGGTTGGACACTCGCTATCTTTTAGACACTGCTTGCATGAATGCTTTTTCTCGTAGTCTCTCACTGTATCTGCCCTACGCCTGCGTTGCGTATCACCTCGCCGACGATGATGGTTAGACACCTGTGTCGTCTGACTCGGCGTTGATGGGGCAACTGTGGATGTCCGAATCATGTTTGTGCTGCTGTGGAAAATGGTGGACGTATACGCCTCCTCACAAGGATCTTCATGCAACACGTCTTCAACTATCAATTTTGTCTTCACTGCATTGAAAAAGTTGTGACTACAACTTTGATCAGGGTGCTCATGTAGATAGTCCACCTCTTGTCCATGATAGTACAAGACGCCGTGTAAAACTGCGTGCACAGCCGGGTCAACAGAACATGCCACGCCTTGCTCACCACAGTACACCATCCCAATGCTTTCAAGAGACAAATCAGTCACGTAGCACTGGTGTCCAAAAGGTAGGCAAATGTTAGCATGACCATGATTGGCAGCAACATGATGCAGCCATGTCGTTGTTGTGGTCCTGCGCCGGGCTGTTTGACCTGCTGATAAAATGATGCCATTGTCTTCATCGTCAAAGTCATTAGCCATAGCATGCAATCTTCTTTGGTGTTTTGACCACAATAAATCATCGGGGCTTACACTGTGATGGCCCGATGGCTCATGCCAAAATGGCGTGTGAAACAAAACATATTTCAAACCAACAGATAATGGTGAAAATAGAAAATTGTAAGATGAAATGTGAAGCGAATGTAGCAAATTCTGTACTTGTGAAACACTTGTGCTCAGCGGTTGAGGCACATGAAAAATCTGTGTTGTGCCACGTAGGTGCACGGTGAGATCTCCCACACGGCTGTGAGCATTTTGGCTTTGCAAACCAGCTTGCTCTTGTTCAGGGAGTGGCACGCCATATGCATCGCAAACTGCTTGCCAGCGGCATGTTGAAATGACGCGTGTGAATGCATTTTGTTCGGCCAATTTGAACTCCTCACCTTGTGAGAGGCAACGCATCGCGAATGAGCTCGTTGCTGGGTAATGGAGGTCCCACTCCACAAGCCATATTTGCCCAGTTGTGATGCCAGGAGTAATGACATACAGGTTGTTATCTCCAATCTTGGGATCACCCGTGCCTATGATCTTCACGATGTGTTGCGTCGAATGCACCTGATATGACAAGTAAGAACCGATTTGTAAATCAGGAGTTCCGTCGGCACATGTGCTCAACAAGGAAATGCTGTAACCGCCACGCATATTCAAGAACCACAGATCAAATGGCGATGATGAGGTTTCAAACTCGATCAGTGCCAGCAACCTTGTCTCGTTTTCTTGATGATTGTCCTCTGACAGATCAATGCGTGGTATGTTGACACCCCCACGAAACACATTGTCACCTTTCATAGTGCCATCCTCTGATACTCGGTCCGAGCTTTCCAAGCGCCTTGCCACGCCCTTGATTGAAAAGTTGATGCTCGGACTCGAAGTAGTACCATTGGGTGCAATGCCAAGGTGCACATGATCACCGAGCCAGAGCCCTGACAATAGCACGAGTGTGGCATACACGATGGTCCACAACGCTTGCCCTAGGCATGAGCACCCTGAGTTGTACCTTGTTCGCACGCCAGAACCAGTCATCACCTGCACCCGTCGCACCTGATAGGTACTCGAAGGAAGCATAGCAATCACCATGTCAGCAATCGTTGTGATTGATTGTCGGCTGAACAGAGCTGTTGGGCTAAGACCAGCCTCCAATGCTTGAGCCAAAATGGCTACGGCCTTAGGGTTTAGGGTTTGGGATCAAGAGACCACGCAGAGCATTGTAGGGAATTGTGCTGCTAGCTTTTTAAGGAAGCTTATAAAAGTTGCCACGAGAGGAATCTAAAGTGACGAATATGGTGTCCTGATCATGGTAACTTCATAAGTTCCTTAACAAGAACGCCAGAAACTATACTATACTATACTATACTATGCAGTGTATGTACTTTACACTGTGGAAGTCATGTTACATGCCATATACCATATACTCTGTACTATACGAAGGAGGAAGCACCCCCTGCCTCGGAGCACGCTGCACTTTGGCTGCTTGGCCAAGCCGAGTCCCTGAGCATTCCCAAAGCCTCAGATAGCACAAGCGATCGAGTACTAGGCACTGGAGCGGAGGTAGTCCTGTTTCGTTTATAGCATATCGTCAACAGTATATAGTATGTGTAGTATACACTATCTCATACCTTTTAAGGATAGATAGCATGGTATGTTGTAGTGCGGTGGTGTAAACTGCAGAAAGTATACAGTATAGTCTATATGTGTTGAAAATCGCGAGGCGTATGTAAGTGCTCCGAATGCGAGGCTTTGTTCCTACGCAAATACGATACAGGTGCGAAATGAAGAGGAATGGACATTATATCGGGGACACAGGAACAAAAGGACAGCATAGACTGCATTTAAGTATAAAACAAAAGCTGCCAAGCAACACCTGTTGCACATGAAAAGGATGTACATACAACAAATACAGCAAATGGCTTCGAGTTTCCGGATCCTCCATGTGTTCACATGTTCGTATACTTTCCTGTTGCTCCTGCTCTGACATTTACCCCAGTTCCCCCAATTCTGCCTGGCCGGATTCCGGACGTTTCCGATGTTTCCCCTATGTGTCGTTGTTTGTCTTGCGTTTTTCCTATGAGAACCGTATTAAGTTTCGGCTATGCTCGTATTCGTACTTGTTTCGCAACTTATCTAAACTGATGTCACCATGATCTAACAGAATCTAGCATTTACGTTACTTCGCCTTCAATTCTTCTGTCTGAAGTGCTGCCATAGCAGCTCCAAACAGCGGCCAACAGAAGGGAGTTTCCAGACGGGAGCACTCATCTACTTCTCGATGCCAGCTTAAACCTCCAGCAAGCTGACTCATTTGGGAGTTTCCGAAAATTAGGGGTACCTTATTTAGGGGTCCTTATAGTAAGGATCCTACTATTTAGGGTACTATATTAGGGTACCCTATTTTCGGAAACTCCCTTTTGCACTCTTGGCATCAAGGCAGGGCCGGGCCTAGCCACGAGGCTGCAGGCTCATCCAGCAACCAGCTCGAACGCGGAGAGATGCCGTCGGGATCTGCGGCGATGAGGGCCTCTCGATCCCAACTTCTCAGGTCTTCCTCACTTAGCTGCTGAGTTCATAAGCCCCAAGAAGTGTACACTTTCAATTTTATAGTGGGTAATATGATTTATAGTGGGTAGTATTATCCCAAAAAGTGCGAAGTGTATCCACTCAGCTACTAAGCTCACCCTATCGCCGGCGAATCGCCGGTCGCCAGTCTCACGTCTTTCTAGGTCGTCGCGTAGAGACGGAGCAAAATCAAGAAGCACGAAAGCCAAACCAATAGACAAACGAAGAGCACATGCCTCATGGGCAGTGAAAGACATGCCAAAACAGTGCATGTGGTTGTCATGCGTGCTGGATTGCTTATTCGTGGAGGTTGAAAGGGGGCCCGAACAAGCCTCGTTCGGCTTGAAACTTGTGCAGCTTGGTTTGGGGACTGTTTGTCTAACTGCATGACGCGGCAAGGTAGCTCGGTAGACAACCCTGTGCCAGACAGACAGCAGAAAGACATACGGCAGAAAACATATTATACTGGCGTGAACCCCGAGGAAAAGCAAGTGTGGAGCAAAAGGTCAAGGATGTTAACCGGAAGGACTGTCACTATTGTACTCATACTTGCAGACAGCATGCTGGAGAGCGGGGGGCATGGGGAAGCTCTGGTGGTGCTTAGCTACAGCAGATTGCGGATGAATGAGATACAGGTTCCACAATCTCTGTTACGTCTGCTTCTCCTCCTCAAGCTGAGGTAACTGGGCTCCAGGCTGCAGAAACCAAGGCCTTCAAGGTCAAGGAGGCTGCCGACACGGAGGCTCCCAGTGCGTTCTCCACGTCTGCCTCGTTGCTTGGCTTATGAACACGGGCAGGCAGGCGTCTGCGTGTTGCATACCTTTATGCTCAAGCACCTTGAGGCTTCGGATTCACTCATAGCAGCGATAACATTGCGATTGCTGGCTTCTTGCCAGAAACTCGAGGTTATACTCGCGAAAGCTTTACTATATACTTTGCGAGACTATAGCATACTATCCGACACCATATGAAAAGATACTGTACCCTTACGATACCGTACTACACTATACTATACGATACTGTAAGATACCATGCTGTAACATAAGATACTAATTATACCGGAGGTGTTCCTGGAGCGTGCTGTCTTGGGCCCGGGCGTGAAATCCATACTTCGCCAAAAAACCGACCTCTGAGAGGTCGAAGATCGATGCCCTGAGACCATCCGACAGACGTAAACCGTAAGCCCCAAACTTGGCGCGTAGGGCTTTATGGGCAAAACTTGGGGTTCAGGGCTTCATAGGCCAAACTTGGGGTGCAGAGCTTCATAGGCTAAACTTGGAGTTTAGGGCTTCGTAGGCTAAACTTGGGGTGTAGGGTCCATGTAATCGGGTTTCATAGGTTTAGGTTTAAGCGGAATCTTGAACCAACCAATGTCCCAGCACCCTAAACTCTAAAGCTTTCCAGAGCTCAGTGCCCTACCTGTAGTAGGAGATCTGGTAGTAGGCCAGGAAGGGGAAGTAGAGCGAGACATTTCTCTGAAGCGACTCTGCGAAACCGACTGCCCCACTACGGGCCCTTCTCCCCATCCATCATTGGTCTAAAAGCATCTGGCAATCAGGGTCCCTTCTTTGGGGTCCCTGCAAGACAGGATTCTGTTCTTGAGGTTGGCATGCAGAAAGGCAGTCAACATGACACTTGAATAGGCAACACAGCGCTGCGCCAACAGGGGCACTTGACATCCTTCCGGAAATGCGGCTTCAGAGGCTTTGCTGCCACCTGCCCGTGCAACGACGGCAGACGGCTCCTATCTCCTGACGTCCATGCCCGAGGCAGGCCGAGGAGGCAAACACTAAGTGGGTGCTGCACATGTTTTTTGATCGCACGCGGCGGTCCGCAGACCACGCTGGTGAAACTCTCGAAGCATTTGCTCGCTGGGTCTGGCAACATCTTTGGTAACCAGGACTGATGTCCACCACATCCTAACCGCGGTCCTCCGTTCTGAACCCTTCCTGGCAGGCTGAGGCAATCCTCAGGGCCGAGAGGATCAGTTTTCTGAGTCATCTTGCCTGGTGCACACGAGGAAAGACTACTGATCGGGAGACACTGAGATAATATCTATCTTGTGTGTCTGATCGACGAATGTCAGAGTGGAGAAAAGCTAGTAAAGCTTTGCAAAAACACGCAGGCAAAGGCCATACAGGAATTCGGAATCCGGCGAATGTCTGCAGTCTTGCTTCGCCCTGCCTCGTGACCACGCGCACCCTCAGTGGAATACGGGCTTGCATGAACTTCAAAGGTCAATCGACACACACCAGGCCCCGTGCTTGCATGGAGCAGACGGGGCAGTGCGGCATGCACGCTCCTGGTGCAAAATTTCGTGTGTGCGACGCGGAATGATACTGTCGCTCGCCGAAGCTCCTGGGCGAGGTGCGGCAGCGGCAGCGCCAGACCCAAGCTGCTGTGAATAAGCCGTCGGGCTGCTGCAGGTGGCCTTGTGACAACACACTTGTTGCCTGGTGCCTGTCCCCTCTCCACTCCCGTTCCCTTCCGCTGGGCCAACCGCGGCTTGAGCTGCCGGTCCCCGCAATCATCGGCTGTTGCCTGAGCCGGGCTGAGGCACACACACTGGCCGCGGTAGGCTCTGCAATAAGCTTGCGGCGAGCTCGACGGCCTTGCTGAAGGGTGAGAAGTGTCTCTCCAGCACAGAACCTTGAAAAAGACGCCATGACATGACGGAACTCGCAGAACCCGCAACTGCTGCACTGCGTCAGGCTCCCGCCCAGTGGTCTGAAGCCCGCCATGGGAAATCTCAAGGGCGCCTCCACTGGCTCTCAGAGTGAACCTATAAAGGCTCCCTTATTTACTAATTAGAATAAGGTTTTGGGGACCAGTATACTATAAATATAATCAGGAACCCTATACTCCTTATACAGAAGGCCTGGTTCGCAGCACCGCGCATCAGGACGCTGAATGCCTGGCCGCTCCTGGCAGAAACTGCAAGGCGAGCAGAGCGTCCGCAGATGCTGCAAACAGCGCGCCGGACCCTTGGCAGATGTGTGGCTGCAATGGCGGCGCGGAGATGCCTCCCAAAGCAGCATAATTAGAATAGGGTTTGGGGGTATATTATACTATTACTATAATCAAAAGAAAGAATCCCCAAAATGGTGGGTCAACGCATCGAAGTGGTCAAACTGTTGTGGATAAGCTTGCTGAATGCTCCGCCCCGGCCTTCGCGCGCGAAGTCAAAGGCAACTCCCAGAAATCTCCCGTTCAACATGAAGGCCAGGCGAGGGCCTCGGACCAGCTTCTAGGTTTTTATTGCAAGAACGTGCAGCAACTTAATCCGTGGTTTAAGTTTAAGCCCTTCATGGCAGGATGTCCGTTGCATGGAAAGCGTGCTACTTAGCTTCTGCGAGGCTGGTTCAGAGACCCTACAAGAAGCATGCAGTTGAGAACGGCCCCACGTCATGCATGCCGTGCAGGATCCAAGCCCCGGACCACATGCATCTTCCGGCCAATCCAGAAGAGCCCCGACCTTCCGATTTGAGCTACTTGGAGGATCATGGGACTTAGTAGGTACAGTTACAAGTGCCCTAACTGGGGTTATATCCAACTATATATATATATATATATATATATGTATAGTTATCTTATTTATAACCATAGTTACTAAGTCCCCAGTGGCGCAGAGGAAGAGGTCGTTTCGGCTGAGGTCCCCACAATGTCGCCGGGCCGGCCAAAGGCCGGAACTGATCTCATGGGGCCTCACGGCACATCCAAACTCATGGGTTCAGGTCGGCTCGTTTGCTTTCCGAGCTCCGCGAGATACAACTGAACGGTACCTAAACCCTAAACCCTAAACCCTAAACCGCCCCCAAAGTAGAAATGGCTCAACACCCATAAAAGGCGATAATTCTACATACCTTTGGGGTCCAGGGCATGGCATTCCCAAAGGACTCCCAGCACTCCCAGGCTTCTGCAGATCATCAAAAAGCGCTCACAGCAGAGCGTGAAACTCTTCCTCCTAACTAAAACCCTGCCCCAAACTGTGAAGCCCCAAAACCCCAAAGGCCCTAAAGCTCTGCAACACCATATTAAACGACTTCTGCAGCCTTCGCCGCCGATGAGCTCTCCTTCGGAAGAGAATCCAAGCATCCGGCACCTGAAATGTCGGAGAAACACCGGCTTCTTTTGGGGGGGGTTGAGAGCTGTAGTAGGGTTTAGGTACCTGTCGGCGATAAACCCCTGTGAGCCCCTGTAACAGCACCCTTTTCCAAAGGCTGCAAACACACAAATCGGAGTTTGAGTATCTAGACCTTGATTTTCTCTTTCTTTCTCTGTGGCTGAAGGGACTGTCACAGCCCCCGTCCCGGAGGGGTGCCGCGTTCTTCGGAGTTTTGGGGCCTGGGGGCAGTCGGCAATGCAATGGATTGATGTCACGGACTAAGGCAGCAACAAGGACTGGACTGCACCCGTCCTTCACCCATACAGGCTCACAATAGCGACGACATCGCTCCCCCAGTTCGCATTTTGAGGACCCAGTCTTTCAATACCCCCAAAACCCTAAACCCTGAATCCTCAAACCCCAAGACCTGAACCCCAATCCCCTAAAGTTCTATCCTAAACCCCCCAAAGTAGGTAAAATGATGGCCCAATACCCACCAAAAGGCTGTTATTCTACATACTTCTGGGGTCCAGGATAAGGCCCCCATAGGCTCTGTCTCTCTGCCCGGACTCGGTGGACTTGAGTGCCGGGCGCAGCGCTGCGACCGTTGCCCTCCGGAACCGACGGCAAGACCAGAGCCTGAAGCAGGTTCTTCCAAGGGCTTTGGGGCCTTAGGGTAATGTAGTACCCTTAATAGTAGGATCCTTATTATAAGGACCTCAAAATAAGGTAAGGTACCCCTAATGGCTCTCCAGCCGGCTTCTTTAGGGTTTATAGGGTCTAGGGGCATAGGGTTCAGGGTTTAGGGTCTCGGGTGTAAGTTGGAATAGATGCATACATGGGGTTCCATCCATATACATATGGGTGGTTGTCAAAATTATAGTCCCTTTTTGGGTCCCTAATATAATACGGCACCTAATATTTCGGGTGCCCAAACAGGGACCATAATTTTGACAACCACTCACCCGGCTTCTTTAGGGTTTAGAGGGTATAGGGGTATAGGGTTCAGGGTTTAGGGTTCGAGGGTATAAGTTGCGTCAGGGATGTTATGGGTTTTCTCTGGGGTTTGATAAGGCCTTACAGGGGTGTTTTGCGGAGTTTAGGGTTTCAGGGGTAAGGGTTTCGGCTCGACGGTTCTAAATCCTGTTCCGAAGGGGCATCAGTCGTTCCGGACAAAGGCTGACGCTTGTACAACTTCCTTCGCTGTAACATCATATCATCTCATATACTCGTGCTCTAGTAGACTACAGAAAGTACGGTAGCACATGGCAAGATACCTGTCCAGTAGAACATGATGTTCTCTGTCTCACACCCAGAATCATTTCTCTGAGCTTGAAGCGGCACTCCAGCCAACTGTTAAGGCGCCCCCACGGCGCAACTCCACCTGCGCTTGTTCAAACCGCTCACTCTCAAGTGACTCGACACCTCGCAGCTTCAATTGTCCGCTTAAAGAGCCTCGAATTGATAGCGGCCGCCGGCAACCAAGGGCAATCCCTTGATACCACCCGAGGCTGCACGGCTTGGGCTTGGCCCTGTACTCGCAGATGGCTCACACCTGTCAATGCATTCTAGCACTGTGTTGCTGTCGACATGATATGTCTGAGGATCGAGCATGGCACGAAGCCCATCTTTGGAGACTTCTATGCCTCGCCATCGAACGTCGACCCCTTATGAACTTTATGGAATCTCCATCTTGGAGCCAGCCTACAGCGCTTCATCCTCCCCAACTATAAGCCCTCTCTTGATCCGATAGCCCGACACGTCAAGTCCGCATATGCACAACACCCCGAGACCCGGGCAGTCATCTTTCTGCAGCGGGTTCAAGCAACAGGACCCTGGCTTCTCCAACGTCGCCTCGAGCAGGTGACGTTGACCCATCCAGGCGCCAATTTATACTTGTGTATGGGTGGGCATGGGCACGTGTATGTATCTGCATGTGTACATGTATGTCCTATATGCACAAGCAGCCATGCACATGCGCATGCATACATAAATACATACATACATACATACGTGCATACACGCCTGCATACATCCACACACACACACACATATATATGTATACATACATTTACATAAACATACACCAGCATCTATGTATTTCTACACATGTATGGTAGTAAAGCCAACAGGCGGCAGCAGACAGGCAAGAGATCCTGAGACTGTCACGGAGTTTCCTTCAATTATGTAGTGACTTCACAGCACCGTTTGCTCATCTGTGCATCTATCGTCTTGTTACCAGAATAGCGCGTTGATACACAGGGATTCTTCCCACGCCGAGGTTTAGGGATGAAGAGGCATGCTCACACGGCTCGTGTAGCCGGGTTTCGTGTCCAAGAAATTAGTCCGAGTCCGTTTTGTGTCGCTGCTTACGCTGCTTTTGGACTGATGGCTTTCCTCTGTAGACTTTTCGACCACCCCTGGGCAGCTTCAAGCTTCAACACTAAACGGTTTAGGGTTATACCCTAATACCCTACACCCTAATACCCTAAACCCTAATGCCCTAAAGTGCTCCCGGGTTGGTTTTGGAAGTCTCTTGGGCCCCACTCTGTGGGTCTGTCGCCAAACAAGAGCGTCTTTGGTGGGCCTCGAAGCGTCGTGCCAAAGCCCGGATGTTGGGACCCATCTTCTGCTTCGGCCTGGTGCGCTCTGGAGGACTTCTGCAAGTACACCATGGCTCTATTCGAGCCCAGAATATCAAACCCTAATCAATTATGTGGGATCACCATGTCCGGTACATATTATGTAGCTGGTTGCGCACTGCGACCTACAAAGAAGTGTGCAGATTGTAGCAGCTCAACGTACACCTGGCGGGGCACCCGTTTTGCCCTAATCCCCAAACCACAACCGGTACACCGGGCAGGGCACCTGTTTCCCAGTGCCTCTTCTTCTTTCAGCTTGCGATGCCATGCAGCCTGCAGGACTACCCAAATTTGTCCGTGCTTTGGGGCCATTCCCGGCTCCCTGCAACAGAAGATGGCTCTTTTTATATACATAAGGAATATATACATACATGGGGTTCCATCCATATACATATGGGTGGTTGTCAATATTATGGCCCCTTTTTGGGTCCCTAATATAGTACGGCACCTAACATTTAGGGTACCCCAAAAAGGACCATAATTTTCGACAGCCACCCATATATATATATATATACACATATATATATATACATATATATATATATATATATACACAAAAACTCTGCCATAGTATAGGTAAACGAACGGCTTACTTGGCCTTGGTCTCTTTCCACTTGGCCAGCTCCAAGTGCCGTCGCTTCTCGTGCGGAGGAATGTAGTGCCTTTGCAAACTCTGGATTCGGGTGTAGGGTTCCCAGGGACGCCAATATCCCTTAATTAAGGAACCATCCCTTAACATCATATAAGGGATCGTACTATAATTTAAGGTATATTCCTTTAATCAAGGGATATTGGAGTCTCTGGGTTGAGGGGATGGACTTGGACAAAGGGCTCGGAAAAGATCTGAGCGGAAGGCGCTTGCTTCGGCAAGTTTGCCTTTTTGGAGCCAGCCTTTCATGCACATGGGAGGTTTCGAAAAGAGGGGGCCCTTATAGTACCCTAAGGACTAGGATCCTTATGACAAGGACCCCCAAAATAAGGTACCCCCCCAATTTTTGCAAACTCCCACTTCATGGCATGGCCCAGTTTGCCAGGCCCCGGCCTCAGACGGCGCTGCCGGCACCAGCTGTGGCCTGGCCAACAAGGTCTCGAAGCACTCGTTGGCAATTTCTATAACAGTGATATCAATAATAGTGTACGAGTAATTATTATGAAGAACAATATAGGAAATCATAGAAACTGAAAAGTTAATGATGACCAAGAAGAATAACATCCGTAGTGACTAGTAGCAGTCGTAACAATACCACTAACAATCATAGTGTGCGAGCTCGGGCCTGCTGCGGAGCCGCACAACCTGTGTCTTGTGCCAGGATTTGAAGAACTTCGACGACGACTGCTACTACCCAGAGGCCCCAAAGTAGCTCCTTTTTGGGATTACCCTAGAGGATTCTATATATGAACCCCAAAAAGGAACTACTTTGGGGCCTTCGGGTAGTATAATGCTACTCCAATACAGCTCAAGAGGCCTTGGGAGCTGCCTGGCTCTTCTCTGGAACCAGTTTCGCGCGCTTCCGAGGCTTGGATTCCTTCACAGAACAGATAGATAGACAGAAACATGCGTATGCATATACATATATATATATATATATATATATATATATACGTATATATATATACGTATATATATATATACATATACATATATATATATATATATATATATATATATATGCATATGCATATATGTCGTGAATTCCACCGATCTGAACCGTGCAGGTCGCAAAGTCCTTGTTCGGCGCAATGTCTGCAGCCGGAACCAAGGAGGCCTGACAAGCAAATTGTGAGTGCAACACAGAGGACCAGAAAACTGGGATATATATATATATATATACATGTATATTTATATCTATTTATCTGTCTATTAGTTTATCATCATCATAATAATAATCGATACACATAATATGACATGTAGTTTACTCCAAGGCCTGGTGCCGCTTGGACCTTGGGTGCCAAATACGGCAGGCTCCATGAGAAACGGCTTGGTGGAACGGTTGATGATATAAATCCTGCATTACCTTAAGGACCCTAAACTATGGGAATTATGGTACATTCCTTATTATGGATAATGCCGGATTTATATCATCAACCGAAGGATGCCTGAGCTCCGTACGCGACGGCATCGCCATTCACATGGCCGGCTTCCTCGTTCTTCACCTCTGCCTCCAACTCCCTCGCAGCCGCCTCAAGATCCCATTCCTCCAGCTCCAGCTCCACATCATCTGCAGCCTCCGGTTCTTCCTCCCCTTCTTCCAGCTCTACCTCCTCATCAGGGAGATACTCAACCTCCTCCTCAAGCTCCTCCAAGTTCTCCAGATCCTCCGGCTCTTCCTCGGGCTCTTCGCAAACGTCGCCATCCGGCTCATCCCAAGCCTGAGACGGCTCAGGATCCGGGCGAAGCAGACAGAGAGAGAGCGAGAGACAGACAGACAGACAGACAGACAGACAGACAGAGAGCGAGGAGACACAAATCTACGGAAGCATAGATAAAACAGACAAACAGGTAGGCACACATCCCAGCTTACAGAGATAAAGACATACATGCCGACATACAGACAAACACACATACATACACACAAGCAGTGTGCTGATGCACCAAGCGGCAAGTGAACGAAATTGTCAGCACAAGCTGCGAAGCTGAATCTGCAAGACGCAGAAGCAACCGACCCTTCCCTCGGCCTGGTCGACGTCGACGGCTTTCTCTAACCATTTATCGCCGTTATGCAGGTACTGCTCCTGTGCGAAAGGAAGTCTGTAGCAAGAACTAAATCCATAAATTCCAGGACATCATTTAGCTTCATGTCCTTCAACCGGCTTACGTAAAGATTGTTGCGTGCCTGCTCGAGGTCAGCATCGATCACGTCATCACCGAGCAAGGATTCCTGTGAATGACCAGCACAAAAGCCGCGAGAGGTGGACAAGAACAACAACCAAACCCGCAAAATGACCGTCAAAGGTCCAGTACCCTCCTTAGGGCCGCCCCACCTGCAGCCGCAGCCGCTTTCGGATCCGCCTCCTCGTCCTGCGAGGTGAGTCCTTGCCATGCAGAAAAGATGGGATCCACAGGAAGTTTTTTCTGAACGCTCGAACCAGACGTACGGGTTTCCCGGTTTGTGGTTTAGGGATTTCTGCAGCCGTAGCCGGCTTGAAGGCCTGCCACAGCACAGATCCACCTCTCTGCATCGCCGTGACGTCGGTGACATCGTTGTCGGCAGCACCTGGGGCTGCGAAGCTCGCGCAGCAAAGGCCAAAAGGATAGCGTCGTACCGACAAATGGCTTTGGCCTTGTTCGAAGTGCTCAACTTCGTCATCGTCTTCAACCACCAGAGTCCTTGCTTCAGCAGAAGCCCGCCCGTCGCAGCCCCATGTAAAAAAAGCGTTCTGCTAAGCCCTTTGCTCACCGCGGGACCAAGCTTCTAGAAGGTCGGCGTCGCGCACCTGCATGAGGCACCTCAGACTCGGGTCCATCATCCGTCACACACCTTAAAACCACAGAACTCTCAGGGAAGGACACGTGCGACCCCGGAGGACTTTTGTCCAGGTGCGGCCTCTTGGCCTCCCACTTCGGAGTGAGCCCCACCTTAACCCGGAATAACCTGCCCTTTTAAGGACGTATATAAGGGAATCATATAAAGGAGGTAGGTTCTTCAGGATTCAGGGTTAAGGTCTTACTGGGAGGCATGCGGCCGGTGCCTCTTCAGACCTCTCCACATTCTTTGTCGCCATGGCCTTCCTTTTCAGACGGCCTTGACTAGCACCACCAGCGCCACCTGGAGCTTCAAAGAGCTCTTGGAAAATAGAAAATGAGGAAAACCTTCTGCAATTAGGCATCCCACCGTCGCTCTCCACAGAGAGAGCTTTTCTGGCAACGCCATTCGTTTGCTTCGGCGTTCGGCTCGAGGTGTCCTCTTCAATGTGCAAGACACCGCAAGGAAACACGATCCATGCAACCCTTATAATACCTCTTGCGATCTCTGAGAGTCACCTTAATAGTATAACCCTTATAACTTATAATTATAGTGGCCTCAACAGCGACCCCGACCCTAACCCAGGTGTCTCCTTCACATGCTCTTGAAGCGTCGGCATCTCAAGCTCCGCCCTGGTCGTTGCTTGGCGAGGCGATCGCAGCTTGAGAGGTGGAGTCCCGGCCTTTTCACGTGCTTCCTTCCGTTTGTGGCTGAGAACTGCAGCTCAGCTTCTCCGTGTCCCACGGCCGGAGACAGGCGTACTCGCCCGCTGGGGCTAGCCCTCAGCTGTGCATCTGGGACAGGCTTCGGTGCAACACGTCACCCAACTGAGAGAGCATCGCATGGGGCAGCGACACATTCTTCTGTTCTCGTGTTCTCGGCGCAAGGAGCGACGAAGCCCCATCAATGTGGCCTTTCGGCACAGCAGCGTCTGCGTGCGTCCACGCGATGCCATATTGTCTCGTCGAATGCACCCACGCCTTCGTGACTTTTCCCTTTGCTTTGGCGCCTTGATGCAACCGCGATGAGCTCCTTCGAGACCTGACACGGAGGATATCCAGTCTGTCTGCAGAACTTTCGAGCTAGGTACACTTCGCTTCGGTCTTGCCTTCTGAAGGAAGGTCTCGCCACGTGGCGCAGGCATCGCAGCTCTACATGGCAATCATGATCTCCAAGACTTGGCAGATATTGACATCATGTTCGGTGAAGGGCCTTTCTCGGTGCAGGCACAGTCTTTTGTGCTTTCCTTTGTTGGACACGGACTCTTCAAAAAGTCTGGGAGCAATCCTACGATCGTGCTGCAGCATGCTACTAGGTGACATGCCTACCTCTCCCCATACGCCCCATAGTAGTTCCTTGTTGGGACTACCTTCTAGGATTCTATATACGAACCCCCAAAAAGCAACTACTTTGGGGCCTTTGGGTAAGCAACCCTAAACCCTAAACTGAAAACGCTGAAAACCCTAAACTTAATTCCCTTGGCCGAAGCATTGAGCTGAAACGCAGAGGCGAAGGCGGAGTCTGCTATCCTAGTCGGATCTGCAACACCACCATACCACCATGGGGTAGTTGTGAAAATTAGGGTCCCTTTTTGGGTACCCTAAATATTAGGTGCCGTATTGATGATAAGGATCCAAGAAGGGGACCCTAATTTTGACAACTACCCACATGGAGTTTAACTTTGCACAGAGACCCGCAGCCGGGTTGGTAAGAAGACAGGATCTTGGCCTCTGTCGGTGTCTGGGGGAAGCTGAGATCTTGCGGCCCTGGCAAGCTGCGAGGTTGCTCGCTGAGACAGTCTGGTTCGCTCATGCGTTCTGTTGAACCCCTGCTATTACTACTATTACTATTATTACTAATATTACTAATATTACTATTATTACTACTATTACTAAACCTAAACCCTAAACCTAAACCATAGATCATAGACCCTAAAGGCCCTAAACAAGGCAGGAGGACCAGCACTGAAAGGACTTCCGCCTCCTGAGCGAAGCCCGAAGAGTCTTGAGTTCGGCAGGAACCCAAAACTCCCTGTCCCCCCCATGGCCTTCTTCGACAGGAGGTGGTGCGCTGACCGTGGCGTCCTCTTCGAGACTAGGACTAGAGACAAAGCAACTCGACCATACACAGCGCACCACGTCGACTGAAAGCAGCTGCACTGTCCCTGCAGTTCAAATTCCAGGGTCAACAAAAGTCTTTCTGTCTGGAAGCGCAGATGACTGGCATCCATGTCAAGCGGCATGTTTTGCAGGGGCATGGGTTCAAACCGACTCGTCTTGATGTCGTTGATTCGCTGCTTCTGCTGATGTGGTCTGTCATGCACTTCATGTACACCGTCTCTGTCACGACGCACACACACACACACTTACACTTGAGTCACTCTTGAATCTGTTCGTGTCGTCTCGCAGAGCCCTGGATCTGGCAGGTGGTGGATCTGGGAGCCGACGATTATTTCAAAACAAAGTATGTACTTTGCCATATCGCGTAGCACAACAATGTAATCAATCCGGTAAGAAAGTGGCCTAGAGGTCCATCAACATGGACATCTTGAATGGTTGCATATCAATGTCAATGTGTCAACGTGTGTCTCAAAACAGGCACAGCGCCCAGTTGCCTGATTGCCCGAGGGGCTACAATATCACATGTAAGTGCCACTACTCCGCAGAGTCTCCGGGCCAACACATGGTGATAACAAGAACGGCATGATAGCTGAGGAACTCCACCGACAAGGGCAAATAAACTCAGAAAACTCTGCCAATTGTGGTGTCCAAGGGTACATCAACGTTTTTAGCCGGAGGACATTGTTAGCGAAGACTAGCAGGTGCGAGATGTCCACATCCCAGGATCATATCACACTCGACGGACAGGTGCCTTCACTGGCCTAAGTCCTGTCTGTAAGCCTCCCCCCCTGCCTTTTCTTCAGAATGCGAAAGGTATTCTCAGCACAAACACACACAAACGCGCGCGCAGACGTGCACGAGCGCGTGCGACAAAGCCGGAAGAGTGACCTTGCGGCCAAGTCAATCCAAACCAGTACAGTTCCGCTTCGTGTGGTGTTTGCACATTTCCTGCTTGACCTCCGTGATACTATGTTGGCTGTGTGCTTGTCTGGCGTCTTGCTTCTTCTGGAAACCCTCGGTTCGGCACCCCAACTAGGCGGAGTGCAAGTTCCACTCAGTAACCGAGACTCGTCGTACTCAGTAAAGGAAAAAGCGGACCCACACCGGGCACCTCCGAACCTCGATGTTTCACCAGAAGACTATCCGACAAGAACTGTTACTTACAGCAATGCTGAGTCACAAAGAGTCCTCCACCGGCTCATCAACAGGCGCACCACCAAATGTTGGTGAAGCCGAGCGCGGCTGTCAGTGGGCAGCTGTTCATACAATAAGTCTGTTCACACTACAGCAACTAAAAGGCGCACCTCCCTGTCGCCGCCTCCTTGTGGAGTGGCACCCAAGGCCTATCCGAGCAGCCAAAGCAGCCAGGCTGATGCAGCATTGATATGTTTTGATGTCTAGGGTGGAGATCAGTACCGTACTGACTTGCTGCTGCGAGCTTGCCTCACTGACCGCGTCTTCCTCAGTGCACGTCAAGCATGCATAGTCTCATTAGCCACAAGCACACTGCCACACTCGGTCACTGGAGATTCGACGACAGACCCATGCCGACGCTTGACGATGGCAGCGGCGAAAGCTCCACATCAGGCTCGCACCCCTGCAGCCCGCGTGCGAGAGTCCGGTCCTGCCAAGCAGGTGCTCAGCCCCGGTGCGCGAAGGACTAGTAACTTCCGGCACCTGGCTCTGGGGACTGAGGATTGGCGGCCGTCTCCTGCGAGACGTCTCCTCCAGCGCCTGCTTCAGGAGTCTCAGGAAGCTGCCTTTTCCATATCGAGGGGGGAGAGAGACAGAGACAGAGAGACAGAGAGACAGAGAGAGAGAGAGAGAGAGCGAGACAGGGGGAGAGAGAGAGAGAGAGAGAGAGAGAGAGAGGGAGAGAGAGAGAGGGAGAGAGAGAGAGGGAGAGAGCCGACCTTGCTCCGCCGCAGCAGAGCTGAGCTCATCCCCTGCCTCTCAGCGTGCACTGCGCTACCGGAAAGTCTACGAACCCTGATTTAGGAGTTTCCGAAAACTGGGGGTACCTTATTTTGGGGGTCCTTATGATAAGGATCCTAGTATGTAGGGTACTATATTAGGGTCCCCTGTTTTCGGAAACTCCCCTTTCCCATGAACCCTACTGCACACACTTCACACCCCAGAAATTGAATCTGCAAGCGACGGCCGAACTTCAAGGAACTTACCTTTGGTTAGTAGGGAATGGAAGAATGGTAGTAATGGTAGTTATAATTGTACCCCATTCATCCATTCCCTACTAACCAAAGGTAAAGATCCCTCTACAGGAACCCTAAACCCCTATAGATCCCTTTAAAGGAACCCTAAACCCCTATAGATCCCTTTAAAGGAACCCCAAACCCCTATAGATCCCTTTAAAGGAGCCCTATTCCCTACGAACCAAAGGTAAGGAAAAGCTCCCCGGCCGGAGTCTCCGACTTCGCCGGACCCAGCTTCTGAGAGAGTTCGGCCAGCAGCTCTGCCTCCGAAAGGGCTCAAATCACGACTGCCGGTGCTTCGGTTTAGGGTTTAGGGGTTTAGGGGTTTAGGGCTTGGGGGGTTTGTGGGGCTACTGGGGCCGGGGCTTCAGTGGGGAGATAGGGTCTGGGGCTTTAGACTTTCAGGGGGCAGAGATGAAAATTTTCCAGATAACAGTCGCAAGGTCATGTAACAGCACACGTGGAGCACACCTCGTAGATCTCTCGGATTCGATAACCTGGATCTTCATCGTCGTGATACTCGTCGTTGACGTCCCATACCTGCGCGATATGCCGTAACTCCGTAACTGTCGTTGTTGTGACACAACGTAGCACCTCTGCTACGAGTACTAGCCCTTTCACACTCTCAAGACATGTTGCTCGAGGTTTCGTGTCTTCAGGGGCTGGCCGATTCTGGGAAGGCCACCCGCTTTGAAACCCCCACAACACTTCCGGAGCAGTGCAAGCCGCCTCCTGCTGAGTTGCGTTCCTTCGCTTGGGCGGATAGTGCGCAGACCTCAGAGACATTGAACCAGACCAAGTGTCAGTCGATTCCCTAAGTTAAGCCGAAGCCTAGAACCCCGAAACCCGAAAACCCCGAACCCCCAAACCCTATCAAACGTCTGCGGCGCAGACGATTCAGGCTGTGCCAGAGTCGGAGCGGGTGTGGGCTCCACAGCAGGCTGGGCCTGCTTCAGATCCCACTTGCAAGCACTGCGGTCAGGCCTTTAGGACCTCAGGACGGCGTTCGTCTGTGTGTGTGTGTGTGTATACATATATATATATACACATACATATACATATGTACCCATGTATGTATGTAAGTACGTGAGCAAGTATGTGAGCAAGCATGTAAGTACATGTATGTAAGTAAGTATGCATGTCTGTCTGTATGTCTGTAGGCCGGTAGGTTTGTACGTATAGTACGTATACAGTATGTATGTATGTACATATGTGATTATGTAACTGTATCTCTCTATATATATATATATACACAGCACGTATCTGTGCTCATATACATATATATATATATGCACACATATAAACACTGTATACATGTAAGTCGTGCATAATCACGGGTGTGTGTCATACTTTTATTTCATTTGGGTTCGGATTTGAGCTTGATGTTTGAATCGCCCTTGTCGCCTGCAAACAGTCAAAAGCGAATTTCAGCTTCTCTCCGCGACGTTGAGGGTTGACGGTCTAAGGACTTGGGGGCTAAGATGTGTTAGTTTTCCTGCGTGGGGATTTAGGGTTAAATGGCACCAAGCTATCTGTGGAACCCTAAAAGCAAACTGCAGCACCATTCTTGCGGCGACGGCGTGAGTCCGCAACGTAAGCATTCCAGCTATCTGGCCACAACATATACATACATATATATATATATATATATACACATACATACAAGCGTTTATATATATATATATATATACACACTAGGCAAGTGTGTGTGTATATTTATATATGAGTACTTACATACACGTATAACATATGTATATACATACATACAGAAACACATATAGATACGGATATATCGCAACTGTCACAGATAGAACTATCTTAAGATCGAAGCTTCAAGCTCCATTCGCTCCCCGTGTCGTATCTTCAGACTTTCCCAATAGAAACACGGCCCAACAAGATCTCTCGAACGGCTACCTATACACACATATGTATATATATATATATATATGTGTGTGTAATCATACCAAATAAACAAATAAATGAACATATATATATATATATACATACATATGTACATATTTAGATATACTAATAAATAAATATATATATATATATATTATGTATAACCCCAAAGCCCAGAAACTCCAAGCAGGAATTTGCCTCTGCGGCCTCGGGCAATACTGGGACCTGGCAGCACTCTCAGCGATTCTTTCGTGCCCCTCAACCCCCATTTCCCATACTGATTCGGCTCTATGCCGGGTGCAGGGGTTCAGGTTCCAGGGAGGCTGGGGCCCCAGCATTATCCCAGAAGGGGATCTTGATCCAAAGAGCGAGTGGTTTAAGGGGTTGTGGGTTGATTATAGTTTTTGTGGTTGTTGTTGTGTTTGTGGTTGGCGGTCTTTGCGGATTTTAGGGAAGTCGCACGGTCCGGAGGAAAAAAGAGTTCTTGATTCGGCGGGCCTGCCCACCCTAACTCTAAAACCCGTAACTAAAACCCTAAACTAAAACCCTAAAGCCCTAAACCCAAGCAATCCAAGGGCCTCCGTCTTGGACGTCTCCTTTGAGATGCTTTCCCAGAACCTAAGTCCATGACGTCGTGATTTCCAAAAAAAAGGAAACCCAAAGGGTCCAAAAACCATTCTAGTAGGTACTCTCGTACCCTACTATTGGGGATTAGCACCAGGCAGTTATAGCAGGTACTTCGTACCCTAAAGTATATAGTTACCACAATTGCACTTGGACCCTTGGAGGAAACCCGAGCTCGGCCGGGAGGCCGGTATGCATCGACATCGCTGGTATTCAGGACGTCGAGCGTGTGGCCCTCTTTGCCCTCTCTACCATCCTGCCGCTTCTCACAGCTTAGACCAGACCATGGACGTCATGCAGAGAGAGAGAGAGAGAAAGAAAGAGAGAAAGAGAGAGAGAGAGAGAGAGAGAGAGAGAGAGAGGCGGGTCCGTCAAGGCGAACTTGGGAAAGGCATCGCTCTTCAAGGCCCCGTCAATGCAGGTCAAGAGCTTCTCGTCGGATAGTGATTGCCTGCAGAAGCCCTAAACCCTAAATCCTAAACCCCAAACCCTAAATCCTAAACCCCAAACCCCAAACCCTGAATGCAGCTCCAGGTAGTGACTTCCCAAGCACTTCAGCCAAGCCACCCAGTAGCCATGAGCTTGCGAAGGAGCGTGTCCAGCAGCTCATGCACCGAAGCCTCTTCACTATTCTCATTATTAAGGCCCGTATATTGTAGTACCCTCAAATATCGCTCACAGTAACCCTTTTAGACCCCTTGAAAGGAAACCCATTCTAAAATTATTAAGGCCCCTATTTTGTAGTCCCCTATAGTAACCCTTTTAGACCCCTTTAACGGAAGCCTCTTCAACAGACACAAGTCGTCCTCCAATGCCAAGGCCTCTACTATAGGGGCCTTAAGAATTAGCTATACTACTTTGGGGGTTCCTTATTATGGGTATGAACGGTATAGTTCGATGGGCCCGAAAACCCTATTCTAAGAATTAAGGCCCGTATTTTGTAGTACCCTTATACATCCCTCATAGTAACCTTTTTAGACCCCTTTAAAGGAACCCTATTCTGATCATTAAGGCCCCTACATTACCTCCGAGGCTGAGGCTTCCTGCGGATCCACCTGCTTCGGCTGAAAAGCCTCACGGCGCGGTCGCTGCAAAGCCCGGGAAGTCTTTCCGACAATTAGGGCTACCTTATTTTGGGGTCCTTGTAATAAAGATCCTACTACAGGGAACTATATTAGGTCTGGAGAGAGAGAGAGAGAGAGAGAGAGAGAGAGAGAGAGAGAGAGAGAGAGAGAGAGAGAGAGAGAGAGAGAGAGAGAGAGAGAGAGAGAGAGAGCGAGAGAGCGAGAGAGAGAGAGAGAGAGAGAGAAGAAAGCCGCGCCTCGAGATCGGCCAGCAAGAGCGCGCAGTTGTCCAGGTGAGCTTTGAAGGACTTGACCAAGTGGGCCTGGATACGCGATCTTGCTGCCACATCACCTCCCGGTTCTTCGATGGCAAACCCCACCTTAACCCTGAATAACCTACATTGTTAGGGTTCCTTATTATGATTTCTTTATAAGTCCCTAAAAGTGTAGGTTCTAGAGGGTTCAGGCACAGCTGAGAGCCAAGGGCTCCGGCGTCGAAGGCTGGAGGCTTCTCTCGGCATTGGGCCTCACAAGTGCAATTTTGCAGCCTATGCAGATGCCCTGATATCGGTAAAACGGTGCCTTGATCGCAGCGGCAGCTGTGTTGAAGTGGCACAGGTCGAGGAACTGTGCTAGTAAGTCGAAGATGGCAGTAGAACCTTGGCAACATCCGCGCAACGCAGGAACAATGGAATGCAAAGCAAAGCTCGCGGCAGTCATCTTGAGCATTGGGAAGGAGCGTCATCGCAGCGAGGTCTTGAATCAGAGGTAGGTACTATAGCTGGGCTATGCGAGCGAAGCCTGTGATCCTACTTACGCAAGCAAGATATGAAAGTAAAACCTCACGTGCTGCTACTAGCGTGCCAATAAAGCCTTGCGTGAAAAGGGTCTCACGATTGTCGATTTGTCAGTCTCATCTGACTGCCGCTTGCTTGAGGAGCAAATCGAACGGACCTCTCTTCAAGCAAAATGTGGGGGTTGTTCAAGCTCCAGCCTTACAATCATCATGTAACATCAAGGAATGTAATGTGGTCGGGAATCGACCGGAACAACTTGGAACAACCCCCATATCACGGCAACACAGATCACAGCCTGGGGCGGGAGTACGTGCAAACTTGGATCGCTGCGCCCTCCTCAGCTGGGGCCTTTGCAAGACGCAAGCAGATAGCCCAGGTCATGCAAGCGACATGGCATGTCTTTGCTTTTGATTCCCCTGTGTGCTAAAACCTCTATGTGTGCGTGTGTGTCCCCGTGATCAGTTTCGGGCTTCGTATGTTCACCCGCCATGCTCCACTTCATCCTCTCTCCTGGGTGCCCCATGACCAAGATATTCCTAGACACGTTCCCGACGGGCTTGATACGCCGAGTAGACGCGAACTGAAGCCCAAGCTTCGCCTTTGCACCACATCTCCGCCCTGACTTTAAATTCTGCCCCTGGGGCCTTGCATGGTGTTCGAGATGGACAACAGCGAGTTGTCATGTTTTTGCACGTTTCGGCGATTTTAACAAATCATACCGAAACACTTATCGACAGCATAACACACTACTGCCTGGAAAAGTGGGTTCCAGATAAAGTCTTTCGAGAGTCTGAACAATATCCGCAATGCAGCAGCCATAGCAACATTGATTCGGGTGACGAGGCGACAATGGTGATGGCACTGGTGCTGTTGTTTCTCAGGTATCTCGATACCAATGTTATTGAATACGAAATGGTGGTCTTGGCGATGACGCGAATGATTCTGATGTAGCCCTGGACCGCTTAAGTAGTCATTCGACCGTGACACATTTACCTTCCTGCAGCAAATAGCCTTGTGATTACTTTAATCCGCGAGCGGTTCTGCAGCGGGTTCTTCAAATAAACGGCCTGTCACGGCGTTATCACGGCCTAATATAACTAGCACAAACCGTCAGGGGATCGAAAACCTATGGGATTCAAGGGTTGACTTTTTGCATGTGGCAGGTTCGACCAAGAAGGGACAACTTATCAAACTACGGTGCGATAGTATCCTTCTGCGCAAAACTGTATTATCTCTACGCTGATATTGCCGCAACTTCGAAAAGTGAGGTTGCAAATGCATGTGTGTCTCTGGACGTGGGGGGATGTGATGTGCCGAAGTAGTCAGCGATCGGCGTGCCTATGCTGCCAGGAAGGAATCTATGTCACAAGTTTTCAAAGCCTCGTCCAGCAACCTTAGCTTCTTGACGCGGTTGGCGATGTCCTCCGGCAGCAAAAGTTGCGAGGCAGACTCGCTCGACATCTGGATGAGCCTGTAAAAAATTCATAAAAACCTTAAGGACTCTAATGGAACCCGGCAAAGGAACCTATAACCCCACAGTACCCCAACTATCATGGCAGAACCCCAAACTCAAAACCCTATAACGACCCTGTGCCAGCCTCTGCCTCCGGCATAGCTCCGGCATCCACCGGCGGCGCCTTCACCGCCTTCTCCTTGACGAAGCTACTCAGCACCTGAAGCCGACACGGTTTAGGGTTTAGGGTTTACTAGTTGTGGCTTTTAAAGCCTTTGAATTTTGAAAATATTAGTAAATGAGATCCTCTTAAGCCCAGTAAGGGAAAATATGAAATGTCCCAAAGCCCTACCTAGTTTAGGCTCCCTGGTACATTGGTCTGATAGTACAACGTACCCGGCCCCAAACCCTAACTCTACTACTAAGGCCCAGATGTTGCTAGTTTAAAACCCCCCTTAAAGGCTTCTCATAAACCCCTGTAGCAGGAACCCGTTTAAGAAACCCTATTCTGGTGATTCTAGTTGTGAAGGCCCCTATACTGAGTGGCCTCGACCAAGCTGCAGGCATCCTTGGGCTTTTCGGCCTTCGGAAGCTTCAATCAGTCTTTAGGGGGCACCAATGGCCGACCAGCTCTGTTCACCAAAGAGTTTAGAGTTTTAGGGTGTCGGTTCTTCAGGGCTTTAGGTCTTAGGGTTTACGTAGTGCTGTGTGATTTAAGGGCTTAGGGATTTAAGTTGAGTATCAGGAGCGGTTTAGGGATCTAAGTCTTCCGGCCACCACTCTGTCGATGACCTTGCCCAGGTGTGCATAGACATCCTGCAAGCAAAGGCTTGAAGCATCCAAGGTACTATCGGAGAGTGCATAGGTAAAACAGGGTTTGGCGAGTACATCATGCATAACCATAGAGTCATAGAGGGACCTATCTATTGCACGCCGGCGCAAATACGGGATTGTGACACATACCGCCCACCTCTTTCTTGAGGTAGGCCAAGTCAGCATCCACAGTGCCCATCTGCACAGCCGAGACCAGTGGGGACTAATTCTTCAAGGTGCCGCGCACACTGCGGAGCCTCTCGGGATCCAGGGAACGCACCACCTCTTCATCAAGGACTCAAACACGATACATCTTCTAATGCCTATTCCATTTATCTGGCATGTATACCGTACATAATACAACACTACAGTGTAATAACTATAACATGCTTTATGTATATATATATATATATATATATATATATACATATACATATATGTATACATATGGTGTGTATATACATATACATATATACATATGTATACACAAGACATACCAAGGATTCGTTCAGCCGACAGGATGAAGTCATGGAAGCGCCCGGCCTGCCCCGGAAGCTTTCAGCAGCTTTTAGGTTCCGCTGCTGTCTTCACGAGCCGAAACGGAAAGAGCCAGGAAGTGTACACAGAGAGCTTGCTCACCGGTTTAGGGTTTAGGGCTGTTCTGTTGTTGTATGCTTAACCCTGCCATGGTAGGTCCACCCGGAGTCCACCCCCTTGCTTGCTAACTCGTCAAGGAACAGAACTTTATATCAAAAGCTCTCCTATTATGACAAGAACGCCATGAAATCATGCCTTTTCCACCCCGATCCGGCAGTCATACGGCAAGCCGCAGCATACAGCATGAGCACAGGGTGTCTGGCGTCGACGGGAGTTGGTGGCCTCCCAAACCAGTTCAGCAGAGCCGCTGACATCTTGACACAGTGGCTCGCCCGAGCTGCAGACGGGCACAGTGTGCCTACTGCTCCCAGAGGAACTCCTCCGGATGAAGTGACGCAATCAAGCTGCGATGCCAAGCCGGCACAATGGCATGATATCGACATCGACGAAAGTTAAATGCCTGCAAGAAACGTGTCGTCATCATCATCTAGATCATCTACCATGCTAGTTCAACGTGGAGAGAACACAGCGAATATGGCAGACGCTATCAGCACACTGTCCATGATATGCCAGTGAAAACCTGGAGCTGCGTTACCACCGTCTGCAGAACTAACGGAAGATAACGGAAGCAAGAAACCATCCAAATTTCAAGCAGAAGCACAAGGATCAAGCACGTGTCTACGAAAGGCAATCGCAAAGAAACCATGCTGCTGAGACGAGAGCACTTTCACACAAGGCTCTTGCAAGTAAGGCTTCTGGAACTCCCCTTTCTCAAACAGGGGATCGGATCCGCAAACCCTCCCCAAACCCCAAACTACTGATCAGATCCTTAAACCCTACGTATACCCCCTTACACAAACAAGACGAGGAAAAGAACTGCTGCCGACCTCCTCGGCAGCTTCGCCCTCCTCCGCAAAGGCGGGACACTCCGGCTTAGGGTGTAGGGTTTAGGGGTTTAGGGGTTAGGGTTTCGGGGTTTTGGGATTTAGGGGTCTAGGGTTTTGGGGTTTAGGGTTTAGGGGTTTGGGGTTTCGGGGTTTAGGGTTTGAAGGTTAAGAGTTCAGAGATTTGTGAGGGCGCTGAAGCACTTGTAGAGGAGGATTTTGAAGGTCACTGCGAAGGCTCTTTGGATCTTCACAGTCGAATGTATGGCCTGTTCTCGGGCTCAAATCCTTTTCGTCCTGCACATGGTAATAAACACCTCTATGCTAACGACATGGAGATGGCGGTGATGATGACCAGACCGCCCTCAGGTTGCCTGATGGTGATGCTATCGGACCAAGTGTGCTCATGACTTATGTCTGTGAAATTTATTCTCAGCAATTACTCGGAACAACCCGATGACGAGCCTGATGCTTGCTCCCACAATGGTCACAATGCTATTGCAGCACCGTGATCATTGAGACCATGTTCCACATCCAGGATCTTTCTGCTCTGAGCACCATTGTTGCAAAAGTGATCCTTGTGAACAGCTCGCTGTGAGGATGCTGCTTTTCTCGTCGTCACTTTATTTTCTCCTTTCCTCACAACTGCTTGGCGCAGTTGGATTCGATGCTGCCGCTGCCGACGCAAAGATGCACTACTATCGCGATTCGGAGTTTCAACGATCCGACGACTCTGTTGCGCCTCGCTTGGCCTTAGAAACACCCCAAACCCCAGCCCCCTATAAGCCCTAAACCCCTAACAGCCTCCTATGAGCCCTAAGCCCTAGAGCCCCCCTTGCCTGTACCCCCTAATCCTAAACCCCAGAGCCCCCTTTCAAAGGATGCAAGGCTTTCTGGAGACTGCGGGGCCTCCTCCGGGATCTCTGACCAGTCCAGGGTCTCTCCGTCCTCGCAGCTCCGCAACGAGGGCTCGGGGTTTCGGGCCGTTAAGGTTCCGTGAAGGGTTACTTAAAGGGGTCAAGGCTGCATCACTGCAAGGAACACTCGGGTTTTGCATCTTTCTGCAGGGGGTTCGGGGGCTGCTTTCAGTCTGCTAAGCCAAGCAGGTTTGCTGGTGCATCTACCTAGCTTCGGTGGCTTGAGTGCTTGAAGTCTACTGTCGGAGTTCCTGAACATTCGTGGCTCAAACTACATTGCACGA